ATAAGGAATTTTGATCCACACGTCCCACATTATATCTTAGGACAACTCAACCCATTTTTTACCTATAAAAATGCATATGGAGATACATTCTTATATGTATATAATATGTAAATATGACACATTTGCAAATATGTATTATACTTACCGAAGAGATGATATTGGTAGCTGCAGCGTCTGATAAGTGTGAAATGGAGAAAAATGTTGATTTAGGAATATGCCTTATGCTACATCAGGTTTTATGTCTAGGCTAGTATTGTTAATTTTGACAGGTGGTGGCGCTCAAGGTTCTACCTGATAGTTTTAACTGGGGATTACAGGAACTGAACTGTTGCTCCACTGGTTTTATATTTATTTTAAAACCTGCTTAACTCATATATAGTGGACCAGAAATATGGTGACCATTCAACAAGAGAGTAAATGCTAAGAACTGTGAGTGAGAAGAAAAATGGTTTTAGTGATCTGTGAATTTTTCCACTAGCAGAACATCTTGTAGAGCAGGACCAATGTAAATACTGGGGATTATATTTAATGTATGGGGCATGTGCATGTAAATGTTATCAGGCAGTAGAAAGATCTTGAGAGAGAACTTGTACAAACCCAATTTGGAGTTGGAGTAGCCTGTGTCATACTGCTTGGCTGGAAGCAGCCCTTCCAAGGTTTAAGCTAGTGGAAAGATGTCTTTGGATCCAGTGAATTGACCTGATTTGCATGGCATAGCAACAAGTGGTGGTTCTGGCACTGGAGCCCAGGCCACTTTCTTCAAGGAAGTCCCCCCCTCCAAAAAACAAAACAAACCAAGCCATGTTGAGAATGCATATTCTGTAGTAGGGTTTACAAAATACAGCAGGTACCAACTATGGTTATTAATTCAGACAGGCTATAAATAGGTACTTTGCACTTTGTTGTGTCTTGATGATTGCTTAAAGGGTGAGCTATCAATTCAAAGCAAAGATCTGAGTGATTTTTGCTCATGAAAAAGGGACGGACAGACTTATTCCTCCTTAGTACTGAGATCCTCACAGTTCTGTGTTCTACAGATCCCTATATTTCCACCCATTACCAAAACTCTAGGTGCTCAGGTGGAAAGAAAAGTACACCTTACCTCATTTTCCTGCAGCACAGATACTTGATAGCTATAGTCAAAAGGGATATGGGAAATTGAGCTTTTAGAGTCTCAGGAATGGGTAGAAATGTTGTGGGGCTCTAGGGCCTTTTGAAGCCTTCACCTGAGAAACAACTTCTGTTGAGCTCAGTGGTTAAGTAGCTCAGCTGTTGGCCATTCTTGCGAAAATGTTGTATTAAACCTCCCTAAATACAAGCATATATTGAGAAAAGCAGCTTATTCCAAGTGGTGAATGCGTGAAATAGCACACATCTTCTGGTATATTGATTACATTCTTAGAATGTAGGAAAACAATAATTGCTATGTGTATGGGCAGGAATTCTTGAGCTTCATGGGCGAATTGCAGCTTCCTTAGCCAGAAGTGACCCAGGAAATTATTCACCTTGAAATGTTACTACACTGGTCATAGTTTGCCTTTCCTTTTGTCAAATCCTCTACTGTGCTATGTTGCAAGTAATACTGTTTTGTGGGCAGGATTCTTGTTGAAGCTGGGTCCTACAGCATGAAAAGCCACTTTGCTATTAAGACCTCTTTTTTAAAGATGTCAAAAGCATCTACCATTTTTAAGGGATTTTCAGGCAAAATTTTCAGTGACTTCTCTCTTTAACTAGTTTCATTTTCAAGAAGCTCATCTTCCTGATTTCATGAACAGTTCACCAGTCCAAAGTAAGTGTTTGAGATTTAGTGGTGTATGTTTGAGCAAGGGAACAATGATTGTTCTGTCTTGTCCTTTTCTTTGAACAAACTTTTCTATGCTTTAAAAACCAAGCCTCTGAGTTGTTCCTTTAGTTCCTCTTTCAGTGCTTGATCCTTCATTAAAGCTAGCTAAATGGACTCAAAGGTTCTGGCTGTAATGCATTGTAGACTTAATTGGGGCTAAACATCATTGAAGGAAGGTGCTTACTTCTGAGTAAAGTTGCACTAGATTGTGTTGGCTATGCTTATAGTGTGTAACCTTGAATTTTAAAAACTGGACAGAATGCAGTCAAGAAATGAACTAATAGACATTAGATTCCAAAGTTTTGGATTGTGTGCTTTTTATCTGAATATAAGAAATTTACTGTGGATCCTCCATAAAATGTGAAAAACTAATTCATATTATAAAATCAATATACATGATTACTCAGATATTAAATATTAATGCTGGTTAGTGATTAGTATTTGTTCAAGAAAGTATTTGATGCACACTGAAACATTGCAGCTTAGTGCTTCTGTTGAGAAACAAATGCAAAATTCTGTATTGTTCCTTAGTTACATATTTTTGCTATGCTCTTATGAAGTAGAAACAGGCTAAGGTTTACCGTTCCTAGAAGTGCAGGTCTCAAAGTATATAAATTAATGTCATTTTCAGTGGTAACTTAATTCTATTCCTTCCGCTTTGCTAGGGTTAGTGGGATGATGGTATGGGCTGGATAAAGTACTGATCTTGAAAGTTCTGTAAATATTGAAGAACAGAAGCAGTTGTAGGACTTTTGGATGTGGGGTTACTGATTGGCTGCATGTAGGGGTTTTCATGGTTCATCACTGTCTAGTTTGTGGGTAGAAACACAATTGATGCAAGAAACTCTTCTATGGTTGGTATGCACTGATGTGTTGATGAGAACATTATGGCATTCAACAGGCATTTAATTGTTAATCAGCCTAGCAAGCAATCTCCAAAATAATATCCTATAAAATACTAAGCCTCCTGTCCATACATGTTCTAATGATTTCTGGGACATTGCTGCCTGACATAAGACACTGGCCCACAAATTTCTATATTCCTGTTTTGAAATAGGTAACTAGTTAATTGACTATTTACATGCCTGTTACTAAGGACTAGAAAATAAGATCAGGTTGTCATGTCAGTAACTTTGTTTATTTCTGTGCAACATTTTTGTGCAATTAAATTATCACTAAGTACCCTTCTACTGTATACCTTCCTCAATAAATATTTTGTTTAATTGTGTCATAATGTTGTCTTCTATCACCTTTGGGCTTTTGTTGTGCAAGTTACATTACATCAGTATCTAGATAATCTTTGTTGCTCCATTTCTGAGGGAGTGAACCTATGGCTCCTAGACTGTGACTTGAAAGGCCATAGGGCTTCTTACATTTTCAGACCTGAAGCTGGAGAATATACTTAGATCTCTAGTCTCTTTCGCTGACATCTTGCAGAACATGTGGGAAGAATGTGCACTGGCTACTCTCTGAGGGTAGGAAAGTGAACTCAGAAACGGATAGCAGGGGATGTTTCAGGAGGAGATTGAGAAGGCTAGGATATATGGTTTCCTGGGGCATCTTCAGCCATTTTCCCTTCCCCTCTGAGATGCTCTGACTAGATGGCAAAAAAATCCATTTTGCAAAAATGCAGAGTGGAAGGATGGGGAGGTAGAAATGCCATTTGCTGGTTGCCTTGGTCTGTATTGGTACCCATAAATACTTGAGCTTGGGGGCTTATGGGCATCCTGATAGTATTGCACCCTTAATTTCTTACAGTATTGTTGCTTGATTGATGTCAGTGGAACCAAGCAGCTGTAAGTTCTGATTTGATTTTTCTTTTATCTAGTCATGGATAAGTAGTTAAATCAAACTATATAAAGTAAAACTACAAGAAAAATGAGTTCTGATCTTTTGAAAGTTTGTTGCAAGTTTCTAATGATTGACTATTTTTAAATATTTTTTTATTAGCAAGCTAAAAAAGCTAAGTGAAGACAGCTTGACTAAGCAGCCTGAAGAAGTCTTTGATGTTTTGGAGAAACTTGGAGAAGGGTATGTACAACCTTATGTGGGGTAGCTGGGAAGACTCAAGGCAACAAACAAGGAGGAGAACAACTGGTTTTGTACTGGAAAAAGCTTCCTTGATTTGAGCTAGTGTCTACTCTCTGGTAGCCTTGGGGCTTTGATAAAGCTACATGTTACACATGCAATTGTAAATCAGTGTCTTGATGGGTGCTGTTTTCTAATAGTAATAGAGTTGTAGTGGAGACAGTACTGCATGCAAGCAGCCCGTGAGCTGTGTGTTTCCCACCTCCATTTTAAACTATGAAAATCCCATTGGGAATGGGCCATTTTGGGTGGATAGGATGCTAGTTAATTTTTCTCCCTTCCAGCTATTTTTATTGCCCTAAATGGCAGATCTTTCTCTCCTTTGCAAATTTTGCTTTGCAAAGTCCCAGACTTATATTTTGCTTTCATGGTCAAGTCCAGCTGCTTGTTGTAGCTGAAAGTGTTCCTACTTGACCCCCATCTACCCCAGGTTAGCTAACATTTCTCACAGAAGAAGAAAATATGTTGCTTCCCACAGTCTGCAGAACAAGTGTTGACTGTATTCTGCTTCACTGGTAGCAATGTCCTGTGGGGCTATTACTTCTATATGAGAAAAGCATATGCATATTTTTGTGTGTGATAGGAAACCACTATTCAACTGCTATAAGTTAAATAATTTTTTAAATCTTTAAACATGCATTGCTTGCTTCATGTTTGGAAATGTTCATCAAGCCTAAGAAAGAAGCATTATTGTTAACATTATAAAGTGACTAATTCCCTTCAGTGATGCATAGTAATTAAATCAGAACTTTCCAGTGGGCAGATAGACAACTCTTAAATACTGGAAATATTCTTGAGATTTTTCCTTCTGACCATTACTCACATTGCATATAATTTTTGAAACATTCTCAGCTGAAAAAGGTAAGAATTTACAAAAAATAATTACTTTGATAGTAGACTAGATAGATTCCTGCTGCAAGTTGTTGCTTTACTTTTAAGGAAAAATAGAGGCATAGAAAAATACTGGCTAGTCCTTTCTTCCAGAAAGAAAGAGATTGTGGTATTGTCTGTCCTCCAGTGTGTGAAGGTCTGGTCTGAAGGTGCAGAAGTCACCTTGCTGAAGGTAAGCAGATCTGGGTCTGGTAGTGTTTGGATAGGGGACACCTGTGATCACATATATACTGCAGTAACATTTGTGGAGGACTATTAGTACATGGGCTATAAATACACTGAATAAACAATAAGTAAATATAAATAAATGTGGTATAAGCACAATATCTTTGAGATGGCATGATTGATAGGGGGCCATATATGCACTCCAGAGTACGCCCTCATGCCAGCTTCTCCCCCCTCCCCCCCGCCACACGATTCCAGTTGTGCTTTTGCACTTGAGGTTATCTTCTGCTGACCTGATGAGGACTGAATGTACTGAGAACCTGCAAACCACTGAGTTTCAGTTGAACAGTGGGGAAGAGGAAATAGAATGAAGTATTCTGGAAAAGGGCCTTGGTGGCTGGACTGCTGAAGAGGAGCATGCTGCACTGCAACATCTTGTTTCAGCTCCTTATTCCAAAGGAGATCAGATAAGCAATGGATTACAAGGAACTGCTCTTATATGTTAAATTACATCTGGCAGTGTTAAGTCAGAGCTTCCTGCATTAGAAGAAGGTAAAAATGAAAATGTACAGCTTGAAAAAATTTCTACACATAAATGGAAACCCCACTAACTTGATAGAAATGAGTAAATCCCTATAACTATTGGCAGCAGTTCCTATATTCCTATAAACTACTGGTTGCAATCTGCAATTTTTCCTATGTAGAAGGCAGGAACCTAAGATGCCTTTTCTGAGATTTTTGAAAGTACCTTCTCTTTTTATTGATTAATCTAATCTTGATGAGCACAAGTTTGTTATCCAAGATAAGTGCTTATACCCAAACAGTATAATTAGAAAGTTTGCTTAACCCTTTCAGAATAGTCATATATCTTAAATAGTGTACAAGGAGTGTATGCATATATGAACCATGTGGCCATAAGAATAAGGGTATTAAGTACTAGTTTTCTTCTACTCAACACTGCTTTGGCCTCATCTTGAGCTCTGTATCCAATTCTAGGCACCACAGTTTAAGAAAGATGCAGATAAGCTTGAAAAGATTTAGAAGAAGGCAACAGAGATGATCAAGAGATTGAACATAAAGCTCTATGAGGAGAGACTGAAAGACTTTGGGAGACTTGAAGACTGAATGGAGATAAGATAGCACCCTTCAAGTACTGGAAAGGTTGTCACACTGGGCTGGGATCTTTCCTAGCTTCCAGCTGAATACCAGGAAAGCTTCCTGACTATTAAGTAGCAACATAATACAACCAATTACCTAGGAAGGTCATGGGCTTTCCCATGCTAGTGACATTCAAGATGCAGTTAGCCAGTCATTTATTAAAGATGTTTTAATTTGGAGTCCTTATTAGCCCCTTCCAAATCTACTATTTTATGAATCCATAATGCTTGAGTTTAAAAGTTATGTTTGTTAGCTTTAAGTAAAGATGTAACATTTCCAAAAATTTTGAAGCCATTGAAACCCCTCATTTTTTTTTCAGAGGAGCAGGGAAAAAAATGGAAATTCAGTACTTTTTTGAGCACTCTCTACAGATCTAAATGCACTTAATTACATTAGAAACATAAAATATTCATAAAACTACCATGATATTATATATCCTACCTTCCTTCCAAGGAACTCAAGGTAACTTACATAATTCTCCTCTTCCTCTCAATCTTATCCTCACAACAAACAATCCTGTGAAGTAGGATAGACTGAGAATCTCTGACTGGCCCAAAGTTATCTAGTGAGCTCTGTGGCTGCATGGGGACCAGAATCCAGAGCTCCTGAACCCCAGTTCTGCACTCTTAATCACTGTAACAGAATGGCTTTTACAAGTTTAAAAGTGAGCTCAGTGAGTTTGTTTGTATAAGCATGCTATTAAACGTAGCATATGAAACATAATTTTAGAAGCACAGCAAATTATACATAATAGATTTTTGGTTCCTATTTTATGTCTAACCAGAAGGAGTTTTAGGAACTTCAGTCTCTGAAACATTTGACTCACCCTAAAAGCCAGGAAATCTGGATGAACTATCTATCTATCTATCTATCTATCTATCTATCTATCTATTTATTTATTTAAAACATTTCTATGCCACCCCATTCGCCGAAGCCTCGGTGCGGCTCACTACATAAAATTAAAATACAAGAAATAACAATATAAAATAAGTCGCCCTGGCCAGATAAAATAAGCAAATATTGCAAATAATATTAACAATTAAAATGACGCTTAAATAAAAAGGTCTTTGCCTGGCGCCAAAAAACAAATAATGACGGCGCCAGGCAGACCTCTCTGGGGAGCGCATTCCATAGATTGGGCGCCACCGCAGAGAAAGCCCTCCTCCGAGTACCCACCCTCCTAATTTCTTTCACGGAGGGTTCCCGGAGAAGGGCCTCTCCTGCAGATCTCAAGGGGCAGGTGTGCGTATATGGATGTAAGCGCTCCTTCAGGTAACCAGGACCCAAGCCGTTTAGGGCTTTATAGGTCATCACCAACACCTTGAATTGGGCCCGGACTTCAATGAGAAGCCAGTGAAGCTGACGGAGGACTGGAGTCATGTGAACATAACGCCCAGTCCCTGTCAGCAGCCTGGCAGCTCTATTTTGAACCAGTTGAAGTATCTGGACCGTCTTCAAGGGTAGCCCCATGTAGAGCGCGTTACAGAAGTCAAGGCGGGAAGTCACCAGCGCGTGTGTCACTGTCGCCAGGCAGTCGTACTCCAGGTAGGGGCGCAGCTGATGAATCAGCCGAAGCTGAAGGAAAGCGCTCCTCGCCACTGCTGTCACCTGAGCTTCCAATGAAAGCTCTGGGTCGAGGAGCACTCCCAGGCTGCGGACCTTGTCCCTAAGAGGGAGTGCAACCCCATTCAGGACTAGGTTCAATTCACCCTCTCCGAAGCCTAATCCGCCAACCAACAGGACCTCCATCTTGTCTGGATTGAGCTTCAGTTTATTGGCCCTCATCCAGCCCATTACCTTGGCCAGGCACTGGTTCAGCACAGCCACTGCCTCACCTGGATTGGTGGAAAACGAGAGGCAGAGCTGGGTATCATCAGCGTACTGATGATTCCGCAGCCCACACCTCCTGATGACCTCTCCCAGCGGTTTCATATAGATGTTAAACAGCAAAGGGGACAAAATGGACCCCTGCAGTACTCCATGGCATAGCTGCCATGGTGCAGAGCCATAGTCCCCCAGCACCACCTTCTGGAACCGGCCATTGAGATAGGAGCGGAACCACTGAGATAGAGGCCTGGTATACAGGAGCCAGTTCATGTGGTCAAAACCGGACAGGGTGGCTTGTAAAGAGCCATGACATGTGCTTGGAACAATTTGTATAATCATGAATGGCATCTTGTTGTGCCTTCTGAACCAGGGTAGGATGGCTTGTTGTAGAATATAGAGTTATTTGAGAGTTACTTAACCCTACCACAGCCCTTGGGTGGTTAGGGAATAGTTCAACCCTCCAACAAGCTATGCTGCTTGAGTTTGGACAACACAGTAAATTGTAGCCAGGCAATGATTATGTGGATACACCAGCATGCACTGTGGTTTACAGTAAGTCAACTCATTTTGAATTTGCAAACCTCATCAGTTTCCATCTGTGTGTATTTGGTTGGGATGGTATTTCGGGTAATCTGATGTGAAGGAGAAAGCTTATCTAGATAGGGAAGACTCTCTTCCCTATTGAAGATGGAAATCAAGCATATTTAAAACACTAAGCAACCTATCATTTAAGCAGTGACATTTATTCCTTTTAGTCAATAATTTCTCATACCATGATTACTTAATTTTGAAAGCTTGTTTCTCATGATGGTATCAGTCTAATTAATTCCTGTGCCATAAGAAACAGGCTACTGACAGCCACCCTTTATGAGGACTTTTAATCCTCCAAACCTGGAGCATTACAGGCATTAACGAATGGGGTGGAAGGAGCATGGAGGTGAGAATTGCTTCCCTCATGCCCCAACAGTCTTAAGTGTTTTACCCCTGCTTATGAGGAGGAGAAGGGTTGAGGATTGCTTGTATCCTGGTGATGCATCACATCTCCCATTTCCCTCTGACAGCCTCCCCCATGCTGGCTCCAAACTTGCACTTGCCACTAAGTTTCTGGAGTCACTGTGGAAAAACTGCTGGCTGTGAGGGTGGAGGTCCTCTGAATTCAGAGCTCCAGCACTGAGCTGGAGTACTTGCCTGAAGTTGGAGCTGGAGCTCTGGATTTTTCTAAGGCCATCTATATAGCTACAGTGTTTGCCTTCCATGGGAGTCAGAGAACTATGGTCATTGACTGCTGAAACTCTAATCAGCAAGTTTAGAAACTCTAGAGAACAACATCCAAACCGAAGAATACATATTTTCCATATATGAGTTCAAACTCTGACTTGTTTGTCCAGGTTTGGGAATAATGATGGCAAGTCCAGCGACTAAATCTCTCTGGACAAACATGCAGGAAGCAGCATGCACTGTCACTCCAATTTTAGCTGTGGGTTGTTAGATGTGCAAACTGGCTAATAATTATTATTTTTCTTCTCTCAGTCCATCTGGTTAAAAGATTTTGTTTCTTTGTTGCATAAATGCTCCATATGAACTTCTGAATGGGAAGCTATATTGAATTGTAGTGCATGCTCCTTGTGGGTAGACTTGATTCTGCCTAACAGTTTCATGGTGCTGTAACAGATGTATAAGTGACAAATGTGACTGTTGAATAAACTGTAATGGATAGTTTGGACATAACAATTGTTATTAAGAACCTAATTAATACCACTTTCTTTTCTAGGTCGTATGGCAGTGTATTTAAAGCTATTCATAAAGAATCAGGGCAAGTTGTGGCAATTAAGCAAGTCCCTGTTGAATCAGATCTACAGGAAATAATTAAAGAAATTTCTATAATGCAACAATGTGACAGGTATGTATTAGGTTTATGAGAAGTTTGGTGAAAAAAATTCTGAAGATCTTTTACTAGAAAGTATATACTTTAATTGGTTGAAAAATGCAATGTGAGGTTGAAAACCTCTTTAAAGCTTTCACATTTCAGTGATGAAAAATATCAAGGTTTTATTTGATTTCAGCCTTTCTACTCCTTCTCCTACATCTGCTGGCAAAGTGGAAGTAAACTGGCTGCAAACTTTCTTGCTGCTTTGGAGCATTTAAATGCACTGTCTCCATGTCAGGAAGTGGAATATCCTCTTTATGCCTTATGTTCATCTTAAATATATTAGGGTATGTGCTACAGTAAAGGTGGAGGAAATGTCTTTCAGAATGATTTCTAGATCTGAAGAATACTGCTAACATAGGATACATGGTGATATATGAATACGTATTTGCTACACCGGAGACTTATGAATGGGGTGGTTAAAGTAAATTCCCTGTCTTTGTCACACGGCAACTTTACAGTATGGACCACTGTGCCTAATACATGATGAAGTGGACAATGGCTTGCTGCACAAGCACTTAGGTCCCATTATCCTCATGATTTTGGAGGTGAAGTTGAATAAATAGCTATTCATGGCAGACAGTTGTCTTCTTCTAAAAAGCTGGGAGCATGGTTGAAATTGATATAAGCTGAGAGGTTATCCTGCTTCAAATAAATGTGTATAGTCTGCCCTATCTCTGGGTTTGTGGCAGGTTGTATTTATTCCTTTGATTAAGATATTGATAATGTTTGCCATTCTTCCCTATTTTGAGATGTTCCTTTTAGCTAGCAAAGGGGAGGGCAAGTAAAGCCAAGGTATCAAAATGCCAAAATAGCACAACTATTCATATGGTAGTCTTTTAGGTAGTTGTGCAACAGGAGTTGGAGACAGTGCAGTACAAGGGATTAAGTGGGTGTATTTCTGTGTCAAAGGTTGGCAGTGATAGGTAGGTGTTGAACAAAGATAAGGGTGTGCCCTTAGTAAAATATTGGTGAATCACTCCCTTGTAAAATATTTATGGGCAGAAAACATCTCTTTCTTTTGAGCCTTGTTTTATATCTGGGAAGATCTTTATGGACAAATTGCAAATGCCCCAAAACACACAGTAGTTAAAGTAAGACTGACAGAACCTGAATTAGAGGATTGCAAGAATGCAACTTGGCCCTAAATATTCAAATACCATATATACTTCGGCAGGCTTTTAATCATTCCTTTTTATTGCAGCTTGTTAATCTTTAATTTAAGTTCTTCAGAATTTGTTATAGAGATTGTCCCAAAATATTGTATCCTAGGAGTAGAGCAGTTGTAAGGGGCAAGGTTTAAAGCCTGCTATATCTCTCTGATAAAGATGAAATAGATTTTATGATACATTTATTCGAAGTTTGATACATACCCATATGGATGCTCACTTAACTCAGTAGTGGACATAACATTAGAACAACCATTTGGAGACAGACATTTCTGGCCTAGGGTGAAAGGTAGTCTTAATAACTTAAAGTATATCACAGAAGTGAGTACACCCCTCACATTTTGTAAATATTTTATTATATCTTTTCATGTAACAACCCTGAAGAAATGACACTTTGCTACAATGTAAAGTAGTGAGTATACAGCTTGTTGTTGTTGTTAGTTGCGAAGTCGTGTCCGTCCCATCGCGACCCCATGGACAACATTCCTCCAGGCCTTCCTGTCCTCCACCATCCCCTGGAGGCAACTCAAGCTCACACCAACTGCTTCAGTGACTCCATCTAACCACCTCATTCTCTGCCATCCCTTCTTTTGCCATCTATTGTTTCCAGCACTAGACTCTTCTCCAGGGAGTCCTTCCTTCTCATTAGGTGGCCAAAGTATTTGAGTTTCATCTTCAGGATCTGGCCTTCTAAAGAGCAGTCAGGGTTGATACCTCTAGCACTGACCAGTTTGATCGCCTTGTGGTCCAAGGGACTTGCAAGAGTCTTCTCTAGCACCACAATTCAAAGGCCTCAATTCTTCGGCGCTCAGCCTTCCTTATGGTCCAAATTTCACAGCCATACATTGCAACTGGGAAAACCATAGCCTTGACTATATGCACTTTTGTTGGCAGGGAGATGTCTCTGCTTTTTAGTATGCTGTCTAGATTTGCCATAGCTTTCCTCCCCAGGAGCAAGCGTTTTTTAAGTTCTTGGCTGCAGTCCCCATCTTGGAGCCCAGGAAAATAAAATCTGTCACTACCTCCATTTCTTCCCCATCTATTTGCCAGGAAGTGAGAGGACTGGATGCCATGATGTTAGTTTTCTTAATATTGAGTTTCAACCCAACTTTTGCGCTCTCCTCCTTCACCCACATCAAGAGGCTTTTTAGTTCCTCTTCACTTTCTGCCATGAGAGTGGTATCATCTGCATATCTGAGGTTGTTGATATTTCTCCCAGCAATCATAATTCCAACTGGGGATTCATTCAGCCCCACCTTTCTCATGATGCGCTCTGCATATAAATAGGCAGGGCGACAGTATACAGCCTTGCCGAACTCCTTTCTCAATTTTGAACCAATCAGTGGTGCCGTGTCCAGTTCTCACTGTTGCTTCTTGACTCGCATATAGGTTTCTCAAGAGACAAATAAGATGGTCAGGTACTCCCATCTCTTTAAGAACTTGCCACAATTTGGTGTGATCCACACAATCAAGGACTTTAGTGTAGTCAATGAAGCAGAAGTAGATGTTTTCTGGAACTGCCTAGCTTTCTCCATGATCTGGTTGTTGGCAATTTGATCTCTAGTTCTCTCCCTCTTTGAAATCCTGCCTGTACTTCTGATAGTTCTCAGTCCGCACACTGCTAGAGCCTAGCTTGTAGGATTTTGATTTTGCTAGCATGTGAAATGAGTGCAATGTTGCGGTAGTTTGAACATTCTTTGGCATTGCTCTTCTTTGGGATGGGAATGTAAACTGACCTTTTCCAACCCTGTGGTCACTGTTGAGTTTTCCAAATTTGCTGGCATATTGAGTGAAGCACTTTCACTGCATTGTCTTTTAAGATTTTGAATAGCTCAGCTGGAATACTGTCACCTCCACTAGCTTTGCTCAGACTTCCTAAGGCCCATTTGACTTCACATTCCAGGATGTCTGGCTCGAGGTCAGTGACCACCCCATCGTGCTTATCAGGGATGTTAAGCGCTTTCTTATATAGTTCCTCTCTGTCATCTTGGCATCTCTTCTTAATCTCTTCTGCCTCTGTTAGGTCCTTGCCATTTTGGTCCTTTGTCATGCCTATCTTTGCATGAAACATTCCCTTCATAGCTCCAATTTTCTTGAAGATATCTCTGGTCCTCCCTATTCTATTGTTTTCTTCTATTTCTTTGCACTGCTCATTTAAGAAGGCATTCTTATCTCTTCTAGCTGTTCCCTGGAATTCTTCATTCAATTGGGTGTATCTTTCCTTTTCTTCCTTGCCTTTCGCTTCCCTTCTTTCCTCAGCTATTTGTAAAGCTTCCTCAGACAGCCATTTTGCTTTCTTGCATTTCTTTTTCTTTGGGATGGTTTTAGTTGCTGCCTCTTGTACAATGTTGCAAACCTCCATCCATAGTTCTTCAGGCACTCTGTCTATCAGATCTAATTCCTTAAATCTATTTGTCACCTCTACTGTATATTCATCAGGGATATTATTTAGGTCATACCTGAGTGGCCCAGTGCTTTTTCCTACTTTCTTCAATTTAAGCCTAAATTTTGCAACAAGGAGCTCATGATCTGAATCACAGTCAGCTCCTGGTCTAGTTTTTACTGACTGTATAGAGCTGCTCCATCTTTGGCTGCAGAGCACATAGTCAATCTGATTTCTGTGTTGACCGTCTGGTGATGTCCATGTGTAGAGTCGTCTCTTGGGTTGTTGGAAAAGAGTGTTTGCTGTGACCATCGTATTCTCTTGACAAAATTCTACCAGCCTGTGCCCTGCTTCATTTTGTACTCCAAGGCCAAACTTGCCTGTTATTCCGGTTATCTTTTGGCTTCCTACTTTAGCATTCCAATCCCCCATGATGATAAGGACATCATTTTTTGGAGTTAATTCTAGAAGGTGTTGTAGGCCTTCATAGAACCAGTCAACTTCAGCCTCTTCAGCACCAGTGGTTGGGGCATAGACTTGGACTACTGTGATGTTGAACGGTTTGCCTTGGATTTGAACTGAAATCATTCTGTCATTTTGGAGATTGTATCCCAGTACTGCTTTTCCTACTCTTTTATTGACTGTGAAGGCTACTCCATTTCTTCTGAGGGATTCTTGCCCACAGTAGTATACCTGATGGTCATCTGAATTAAATTCACCCATTCCTGTCCATTTTAGTTCACTGATTCCTATGATGTCGATGTTCAGTCTTGCCATCTCTTATTTTACCACATGCAGCTTGCCTAGATTCATGGATCTTACATTCCAGGTTCCTATGGAGTATAGATCTTTACAGCATTGGACTTTCCTTTCACCACCAGATACATCTGCAACTGTGTGTCCTTTCGGCTTTGACCCAGTCACTTCATTCTTTCTGGTGCTACTAGTACTAGCCCTCAGCTCTTCCCCAGTAGCATATTGGACACTTTCTGACCTGAGGGGCTCATCTTCTGGTGTCATATCTTTTTGCCTTTTGGTACTGTCCATGGGGTTTTCATGGCAAGGGTACTGGAGTGGGTTGCCATTTCCTTCTCCAGTGGATCACATTTTGTCAGAGCTCTCTGCTATGTCCTGTCTATCTTGGGTGGCCCTGCATGACATAACTCATTGCTTCATTTTGCTATGCAAGCCCCTTCGCCACAACAAGGCAGTGATCCATGAAGGAGATACAGCTTGTATAACAGTGTAAATTTGCTGTCCCCTCAAACTAACACATAGCCATTAATGTCTAAACCACTGGCAACAAAAGTGAGTACACCCCTAAATGAAACTGTCCAAATTGGGCATTATTAGCCATTTTCCTTCCCTTGTGTCATGTGACTCATTAGTGTTACAAGGTCTCAGGTGTGAATGGGGAGCAGGTGTGTTAAATTTGGTGTTCTCTCTCTCCCATACTGGTCACTGGAAGTTCAATATGGCACTTCATGGCAAAGAACTCTGAGGATCTGAAAAAAAAAATGTTGCTCTACATAAAGATGGCCTAGGCTATAAGAAGATTGCCAAGACCCTGAAACTGAGCTGCAGCACGGTGGCCAAGACCATACAGCGGTTTAACAGGACAGGTTCCACTCAGAACAGGCCTCGCCATGTTCAGCCAAAGAAGTTGAGTGTACATGCTCAGCGTCATATCCAGAGGTTGGCTTTGGGGAAATAGATGTATGAGTGCTGCCAGCATTGCTGCAGAGGTTGAAGGGGTGGTGGGTCAGCCTGTCAGTGCTCAGATCATGCGCCGCACACTGCATCAAATTGGCCTGCAGGGCTGTCGTCCCAGAAGGAAGCCTCTTCTAAAGATGATGCACAAGAAAGCCCACAAACAGTTTGCTGAAGGCAAGCAGACTAAAGACATGGATTAGTGGAACCATGTCCTGTGGTCTGATGAGACCAAGATAAACTTATTTGGTTCAGATGGTGTCAAGCGTGTGTGGTGACAACCAGGTGAGGAGTACAAAGACAAGTGTGTCTTGCCTACAGTCAAGCATGGTGGTGGGAGTGTCACGGTCTGGGGCTGCATGAGTGCTGCCGGCACTGGGGAGCTACAGTTCATTGAGGGAGCCTTGAATGCCAGCATGTACTGTGACATACTGAAGCAGAGTATGATCCCTTCCCTTCGGAGACTCGGCTGCAGGGCAATATTCCAACATGATAACGACCCCAAACACACCTCCAAGACGACCACTGCCTTGCTAAAGAAGCTGAGGGTAAAGGTGATGGACTGGCCAAGCATGTCTCCAGACCTAAACCCTATCGAGCATCTGTGGGGCATCCTGAAACGGAAGGTGGAGGAGCGCAAGGTCTCTGACATCCACTAGCTTCGTGATGTCATCATGGATGAGTGGAAGAGGACTCCAGTGGCAACCTGCGGAGCTCTGGTGAACTCCATGCCCAAGAGGGTTAAGGCAGTGCTGGAAAATAATGGTGGCCACACAAAATATTGACACTTTGGGTCCAATTTGGACAGTTTCACTTAGGGGTGTGCTCACTTTTGTTGCCAGCGGTTTAGACATTAATGGCTGTGTGTTGAGTTATTTTGAGGGGACAGCAAATTTACACTGTTATACAAGCTGTATACTCACTACTTTACATTGTAGTAAAGTGTCATTTCTTCAGGGTTGTCACATGAAAAGATACAATAAAATATTTACAAAATGTGAGGGGTTACTTACTTCTGTGATATACTGTATGTTTATTCTGACTATCATATCATAATTGAAGCAAACTTAAACTTTACTTAATTATTGGAGATAATTTCCCCCTGAATAGATTATAATGTTGCTTGGTGTGGTCAAAGCAACATCGTGGAATATTTTAAACACAGTTGCCACAAATGGGCAACAATGAGCAATGGAGAAACAGGCTTCTGTTAATGACTCCTTTGCTGATTGAGAATTCTGACTGGGCTGTGGATGAGGTTCCTCCAGGATGGAATATGCAGTGTCAAACATATGGCTCAAAAGATTGGCCAGCGGTTGGAAAGCATGTGCAAATACATGCATAAAACAATGTGCATGCATAATTTTAGATTGGGCTATTGACATTTCATAGTTGTAAGTAGTCTTGTGTTGTACACCATGCGCTTTTGGTATACGAGTCCTTTCAGTTTGGGAGTATTACAGGTGAAAATAAGCAATCTCCATTGCTTGTTTTCTCTTCTACCTTGGTATATGACTTATAATGTTAAAAAGAAACACCTCTTTCATACAAAAGATGCTGAGCATTCTGTTCCTTTATTATCACCTGCACCCAGCATGTTAAGGTTTTTTCCCCCTCCTTTTAAAGATTAATGAAATTTGAAGCTTATGTAGCTGTGGCCTATCTATCTACTGTCTGCTTAGATAGATTTGTGCACTTCTGAGAAATAGGTCAAATGGTAAAGGTGAAGGACAAAGTTGGGCAGATGGCTTGATAGTTCTAAGGTTACTTAATGAAGATTCTCAGGCATAGCATAAGAACCAGCCCTTAGAAAGGAGGGAAACTTCTCAAAGATTGATGGAGATGATAGACTTTCTTGGCCCAGTCAGGAGATAACAGACAAAGCAAGCAGACCTATATGGAATGTCTGATATTCCTGCTATAGTCTTCAACAAGTAAAAGACTGGAGTGAAAGTGGAGTCAGAAACTTTTGGGAAGGGAAGTTTCATTGTGGATTGAACTCTTTACATGGACAAATGCTTCTCCTGCATCTCAGGGAGAATGCAAATTTGATTTATACTGTGCTGTTAACCTGTTAAATTTTAATAAAAAAACTGCATCTAAAGTTTCATCTAAGCCTGCTGGAGAGAAAAAGAGGGAGGGAGAGACTTGCTCTATACAAGCTGCTTGAAAAAAGCCACTAAGCTTTAATTCCAGCAGCATTGATCCTGGACAGCGCTGTTTCTTAATAGTATCAAAAGATTAACTTGTGTATGTTGACAGCCATGTTTTTATTTGTAGCCCTTATGTTGTCAAGTACTATGGCAGCTATTTTAAGAATACAGACCTATGGATTGTTATGGAGTACTGTGGAGCTGGTTCTGTTTCGGACATAATTAGATTACGGAATAAAACGGTAAGGTTTTATTTTTATAAAATATTACATCTGGATATGTTCATGGGAAAAAAATGATGTTCCCAAGATTTGTAATAGCTCAATGGTAGAGCACATGTTTTGCATGCAAAAGGTCCCTCTAGATCCTTTGCCAAGTAGTGTTTGCAGGCAGAGAGCATGCTTCCAACCTTCTCATCTTGGGAAGGGATTGCCACAAAGCTGTCAGGGTAGTCTGTATTAACCCCTGCAGCTTTGAAGAAGAGGAGAAGCTTTTTTTTTTTTTTGACTCATCTTGCTCACCAGGGGGTGCTGCCATGATTATCATGAAGAGCACAGTGAAGTAATTGTGGGAAGCTTGAACTTTCATCATACCTTCGTTCACTGTTCCATTGATTAAGGGGTTGAAGATACTTTTTTGGTCTTACCCTGCTGCATGTAGAGAAGAATGACAGAAAAGCTCATTAATCTGGAAGTAAGTCACATTGGACAAAATGGGACTGACTTGTGGCTAGAGAGGGTAGGATTGCACAGTTATTTTGTCTGTACTATGTCAAGTGCAGGCTCTGATGGGCTTCAAAAGAACCTTGGAGACCTTTGGAGCGGAAAATTAGTGATGCTGATAGGGATTTTTAAAAATATGCTTACACCTATTATACCTCTGATTTATTTGAAATAACCTGCCTTGCGAACCATCTTCCAGGGGAGCCTTGTGTAAAGCACATTGTGCTAAGAATGATACAAGCATATAGGTGATGGTAGCTCTAGTCTATTTTCCAAAAGAGTGAGCAGCTAGGCTGTTGAATGGATTGATAGAACATACTCCTGGTTGCCAGCTGCCAGCTACTGTCTGACTAGGATCAGACAGTATACACTCAGGGATTGAACATAAACTGAGTGTGGGTTGTATTTGAACCATGGGATGTTGCTGAAAATGGGTTATTGTGTTGTCCAGATGAGATATCAAACCATGATCAACAACCTGCAGTTTAGAATCCAGCGACAAACTATGGCAGTGATGGTGAACCTTTTAGAGGCCGAGTGCCCAAACTGCAACTGAAAACCCACTTATTTATCGCAAAGTGCCAACACTGCAATAATACCTGAAAACAGCTAGTCCAAGCAAAAACACACACACACACACACACACACACACACATCTCCTTGGCAGCGCACTGACCAGACATGCGAATGCTCGGATGAGTTGCGGCTAATGTGTCACAGCTTGTGACATCATTGCCTGGCACCAGTACTCCTTTCTGAGCACACACATGGCCCCTATGTGCATTGTTATCCAGTCCTCAGCTGCTGGGGCAACTTGGCTCGTGTGCCAACTGAGAGGGCTCTGTGTGCCTGCTGTGGCACACATGCTATAGATTCGCCACCACTGGACTATGGGTTCTTTTCATAGATTGTTTGTGGTTAACAAACCACGGCTTGTTATTGCAGCTTGGTTCAGACAGCACAATAACCAATGTTTTCACAACAACTACCAAGATAACCAGTGTGGTGTAGTAGTTAAGAATGAACTGGACTGAACACTGAAGTTTTAACTTCGTTTCTTTCTGTTCATTGAACAGCTACTCTGACACTGTGAAGACCAAGAGAAATGCTAATCTACGGATGTGCCCAGTAGAATTGTTCTATATCACTCTCTTGGCACCCTTATTAGTAGAGTATGGGTTTGTAGATAAAGATTCATAGACTGTATTTTTGTTTTACTTACCTGAGAAGAGCCTAGTAGCAAATGCTGACTACAGAGCAGGAGGAACTCCCTCCTCCATGCTCAGGAAGAAAACACAGTAAACTAGCTCCCTCTATGGCATGTACCAAACATTTAATTGTTTTACTGAACATATTTTTTTATTTTTGCACTTGTATGTCAACCAAATATTCTGATAGGGATCTTTAAGTGGCTTACAACAGTAATCAAAAACACAGTTCTTAAAAACATTATACTCAAACAACAATATCATAGCAGCCATTTAAAAATAATAGAGTTAAAGGACAATTATGTACACCATTAACATTAAATAAATTAAAATCAGTTGTTAAAATGCCTGGTAAAGAGAAAAGCTTTTCCCCTGGCACTAGAAGGAGAATAATGTTGATGCCAGTCAATTCTCTGCAGAGGCTATTCCATAAGTGTTGTTATTGTTTAGCACTGATGGAACTTCTTATCAGGTTTGTTTAAAAAAAAACCCAAAACAAAATGGCCACCAAATGGAGATGATCTTCTGGAATGAAGATGTATCTGGTTGAAAATGATTGTTCATTCTATATTTCACCATTCCTTCTTTAATTATCTTTGAAATTATTTGGTATGGTGAAATACCAGATCCGCCAACTCTTCCCTTTCCTCTATCATCGCTGAGAAAAGTTGACTTTATTAAATAGAAGTTAGCAGGCTTTCCATTTCCATTTTAATGTTTTAGTTAGTAAAAAAATGTAATATTTGGATGTTTTGGGGTGCTAGTAAGAAGGCATTAGAATCCATGTTCATGATTTCATATTTGGAAGAATTGCATGTTGAAATGCATGGAGCTTGGGAGTCACCGTGGCCTACCAGCAGGCATGTGAACAGGAGGCTTATATGTATTCTCACACTTCATGTCCCACTTCTTCATCCTTGCCATGATTTGTTTAGTTGTCTGTAGATATGTTATCTCAGATTGGTGTTACTGGAGTGCAGCCAGCAATATGGCTTTCTGAACATCAACTCTGACCAGTGTTCCTGTGCTTGAAATCCATGATTTATTCACAGGCCCATCAACAGGGCACTGTGCCACATTTCTTATGGAAACATCCTAAGGCTGACAGAAGATATCCTCAGAATGTGAGCTGTCATAAGTAGTGAATCTTGAAAATTCAAAAACCTTAATTTCTGGGCAAAATGGTATTAGTTGCTTTGTAGTGGTATGCAAGGATTTTAGGTAGTATTGGAGTAGTTTTTATCTGTATGTCATCCTGTAACTAGATTCTGTGGTCAGTTAACAGAGATAAAAAACAATAATAAAGCAGATAACACTTTAAAAGCCATAGCTTTTATAAACCTAATTTAAAGCAGGAACAGATTAAAAGCATTGGGAAAATACTAAGGCATTTGCCTTGCACTGAAATGACACCAAGTTAGTGAACAGTTGCCTTAAGAAGATAGCTTAAAACTCCAGGTAGGTATACAGGTGATCTTTTAGGTACTTGAGTACAACAGAGTGGAATGCCTTAAAGGTCAAAGCCATCCCTTTGAATACTATTGTGTTCTGTACACAGGCAACTCAAAGGGTCTCTAACCTTACCTTATTTTAATGAATTGGGAAGATGGGAAAAACTGTATAACAAAGAAATAGAAACATAAAAAAGAGCGAGTCAGAAGGGGCCTCCCAGGCCATCTAGTCTGACTCCCGGCTCTAGGTGTCTCTGCCCACGACATGCCTACCATGCACATGTCTAGCCTACCCTTGAACACCTTCACCAATGGGGCCTCAACCACCTCCCGTGGAAACCCATTCCATACCCACGGCATCCTAACTGTCAGGAAGTACTTCCTGGCATCTAAATTGAACCTTGGTTCCCTGAGTTTCGCTCCTTTGAAGTACATCCTGCTCTCCTCTGCAGGGGAGAACAGGTCTCTACCCACCTCTGCGTGACACCCCCTCACATACCTGTAAGTTGCCAACAGATCCTTTCTGAGACTCCTCCAGGCTGAAAAGACCCTGTTCCCTCAGTCTCACCTCATATGGCTTTCCCTGCAAACTGGCCACCAACCTCGTGGCCCTATGCTGCACTGTCTCTAACCTGGCTATATCCTTCCTGTAATGAGGGGCCCAAAACTGAACACAATACACCCATTGCAGGCACACCAGAGTTGTATAGAGTGGTAGTAATACCTCTTTTGATCTAGAAACCACGCTTCTGGGTATGCAGCAAGGGTGACGTTGGCCCTCTTGACCACCGCATCACACTGCTGACTCACGTTTAGCCTGAAGTCAGCCAGCACCCCAAGATCCCTTTCACAAGTGCTGCTCTTCAGCCGCTTGTCCCCTAACTTGTACTAATGACACCCATTCCTACGAGCCCCAAGTGCATGCACATTGAACGCCATCCTGTTGTCTATTGCCCACTTCCATAGTCTGTCCCGATCTTTTTGGATCTGGAGTACCTGCTCCTTAGTTGTGGCCACTGCCCTGGTTTAAGTATCATCTGCGAATTTGATCAGCAACTGTTCACCCCTTCTTCCATGTTGTTGATGAAAAGATTAAGCAGGATCAGCCCCAGGACAGAGCCCTGGGGGACCTCGCTTGTCACTGGCCACCATCCTGATGATTCCCCACTAATGATTACTCTCTGCTTTCGGTCAGTCAGCCATGGCATAATCCATCGGAAAGTGCATTGGTCTATCTCAAAACTCAATTTCTCAACCAGGATATCATGGGGCACTTTGTCAAATCCAAATCAAATCTTGCTGAAATCCAGGTAAACCACATCCACTGCATCCCCTCCATCTAGCCACCTTGAAACCTTGTTATAGAATTCCACAAGGTTTGTCTGAGAGGACCTGTTATTGTGGAAGCCGTGTTGTGTGGCCGCCAGCCTCCCTTCCCTATCTAGCATCACTAGATCTCTTGCTATTATGAGCCTTTCCATTGTTTTTCCTACAATGGATGTAAGGCTAACTGGTCTGTAATTACCCATGTCCCTTCTACTACCCTTTTTGAAGATTGGGACCACTCACATCACCCTCCAGTCCTCTGGAACTTTACCTGTTCTCCACAAGGTCTTAAAAATGGAAGCCAGAGGGCGTGAGAGAATCCCTGCCAACTCTCAAAGTACTCTTGGGTATAACCCATCAGGACCCAGCACCTTTGTAACATCCAGTGCCCCAAGGAGCCCCTCGACTTTTAGTGGGGTGACTCTAATCTGTGCCCCTAAGTTCCCGGCCTCATCTAATCTCCCATGCGGATCTCTTCCATCCTGCTTTGGGGGAGAACACAGAGACAAAATAGTCATTTAGCAACTGTGCCTGTTCCCTCGCATCAGTCACTGGATCCCCTTCCTCCTCATTTAGTAGTCCCACTACCTGTCTCCCCTTTTGCTATTTACATGCTGAAGAAGCCCTTTTTGTTGCTCTTGATATTCTTTGCAAGTCTCAGCTTGTAATCAGCCTTAGCCTTGTGAAGAATCCTTCTGCAACAGGCTTCCTCCCAGTATATCTTGTCTATTTGCCCCAGTACCCTTTTCCTATGGAGGTTCCTCTTGCGTCTAATCCCTCTAACCACCTCCTTTCGTATGCATGGTGGTACTCTCCTTCGCCTCCCTGCCTTACTAACTAGAAGTATTATCAAGGCTTGTGCCTCCAAAACCTCCCTTTTGAGTGCCATCCACCCCTCCTCAACTCCTTTGCCTTCCAGTAACCTGTCCCAGGAGACTTTCCCCAGTCTGGCCTTCAGTTGGCCAAAGTTGGCCCTCTTGAAGTCTCAGCTTCTAGTGCTTGACCTGCTGCACATCCCCATTCCCCTGATCGCAAAGCAAAGGATGGAGTGATTACTCGCATCCAGAGCTCCCCTAATCTGTACCTCATCTATCAGCTCCTCCCTGTTGGTCAAGACCAAGTCAAGGACGTCCACCCCCCTCATCGGCTCTCGAATCCTCTGCATGAAAAACCCTCCCTCTATAGCGTTTAGGAAACGCTGTGACCTGGCTGTCATTGCTGAGTGAGTCTCCCAACTAATATCCAGGAGATTGAAATCTCCCATAATTACTGTGTCCCTCCCCCAAGATATCCTTAGAATCTGATCTGTCAGGACATCATCCAGGGTTTCAAGTTGATCTGGAGAGTGATAACATATCCCCACTGTCAGGTCCCTCTCCCTGTCAGAACCTGTTAGTTTCACCCAGACTGCCTCTACCGAATCCCCATCTGTGCTGCATTCTTTCTCACTGCATTCTATCACTTCCCTGACATATAAAGCTACGCCCCCGCCCCTCTTTCCCTTCCTGTCCTTTCTAAACAGGTGATACCCCTCTATGTTTACATTCCAGTCATCCCACTAAGTTTCCGTCATCCCCACCAGGTCATACCCTCCTATTCCCAGGAAAGCTTCAAGCTGTTCCTGCTTATTACCTATGCTCCTAGCATTGGTGTACATGCACCTCAGCTCCTTCCCACAGCTTCGTTTCTTTGGAATCCCCAGCCTCCTCCTTCCTCCCATCTTTCCTGATACCGGCCCCCTCTTCATAGGAGTCCTGTCAGCCCCTGCAGTACCTCTAACATCCTGGCCCCAGAGCCGTGATCCTCTCCCCAGACTTGCCCAGTGCAGACAAGTTTCTGGGGAGCCTGAACCCACCATTCCCTGCCTTAGTTCAGTCTTCCAGACAAAGCTCACTAGAGCATTTCCGGAGGACCTTTTCTCCATCCTTGTGAGGTGCAACCTGTCCCTTGCCAGAAGTCCATTGGCAAGAAATCAGGTGCTGTGGTCGAGGAACCCAAAGCATTCCTTCTGGCACCACACCCTAAGCCAGTCGTTCACCTGGGCAACCCTTCATTCCCTGCCTGGCCCAAATCCCTGGACCGGTAAGATAGATGAGAAGGCCACTTGGGCCTTTAGGTCCCTGAGTTTCTTCCCCAAGGCCTCGAAGTCCCTGTGATCCTGAACACACCCTGCTTGGCTATGTTATTTGTCCCCACATGGATCGCCAAAAGTGGCTGGTGATCCCCAAAGCGAACAAGATGCTCCACTCTATCCTTCACATGCCGGATGTGTGAGCCCAGCAGGCAACAGACCTCTCTCGGCTCAAGGTCAGGGCGGCACACCACCGCCTCAGTGCCCCTCATCAGAGTGTCCCTGACCACGATCATTCACCGCCGTCTCTTCCCGGTGGTGGTAGGTGGCTGTGCCCTGGCCCTCACCTCTCCTGCAGTGGCCTCCTGGCCTCATGTAGTCCCAGACTTGGAGCCTTGCTGCTCCCCCAAGGCCTTATCAGCCCCAGCCTCCTCAAGCGGAGAGAACCTGTTTCCAGCACCAGAAGAAGGAGGCTGTGCTGGCCGCCTCCTCCTGTGGGTGACATGCCTCCATGTCTCCCCAGCTGTTCCTCCTGTGGCCCCTCCTTCAACCCTCTGTCTGGAGGGGGACTGCTCCCGGGGGGCCTGCAGAGCTCCCTCGGCCCTCAGACACCTTACCTCCTCCTCTAGGAGGCTCACAAGCTGTATCCCTGCGTCTCCTGAGGGAGAAGGATGAACATGCCACAGCGGACGGCAACACCTGTGATTCCTGCCAAGGCCATCTCCTGGCCTGACAGTGGGAACCCTTCAGAGACCCTGCCTTGGTCCCCCGCCTTGTCTGTCCTGCACTACTCCTCACTCGCTTAGTTCTTTCAGACAACCCCCCCCACACACACACACACACACATGCAGACAAAATAAAAATTTAAATAAATAAATAAATAAATAAATAAAGACCTGCCCCAGGCGAGGGAGTCCCTGGGCAGCCTGAGCTGCAGCTATGGAACGCAGACAAGGGACGATGCAACAAGGACTGAGTGCGGCCTTGTAAGCCTCACAGGCCACTGGCCCCGCCCCTCTGCTGCCTCCTGAGTTCTCTGGCCCTGCCTCCCTTCCTCTCTGCTGCTCCTGCCTCCCACTCCTCTGCCCAGCTCCTGCCTTGCCTTTGCCAGTCCCCTGGCCACCTTCAGCACACTCTCCCAGCCTCTGCCTCTGCCAAGAGCCAAAAGCCAAAATACATAGTCCAGGCTTTGACTATGCATATATAAACCTTTGTGCCTTTCATGGTGCATTTGCTTAGCCTTGTGTCTACAATTTGTTATTTATTGGTGGGACTTTAGTTCATGTTTGAAGCTTGTTGACTTCTGTGCAATCATATGCAGGCTCAAGGAGGTCAGGCCATGTGGATTGGATTGCAAGAGTGTGATCTTGATGGGGTCTTGCTTTCTGTATTTGTGAAACATTTTGCACAAGCTTTACATGCTATATAAATAATAATTATAAGGCAGTTTGCATAATTTTGTGTTCACATTTCTTAGTCATTTCAATTGTTTATGTAACTGTAATCTGTGTGTGTGTGTGTGTGTACACACAAGAAAAATACTTGGTTATTTATGTTTCCTCATAGCTTACAGAAGATGAAATTGCAACCATTCTTAAATCTACGCTTAAAGGACTTGAATATTTGCACTTCATGAGAAAAATACACAGAGATATAAAGGCAGGAAACATCCTCTTAAACACGGAAGGGCATGCCAAGTTAGCTGACTTTGGGGTGGCTGGACAGTTAACTGTAAGTATTAAGTGCTGGGTAAACTCTTATTTTACTTATGAGCAAAAACCACTCTACAAAGAAGTTTCTATTGCATTTGTTACTTTTCAGGGCTAGTAATAAGAGGGGTTTTTTTAGAAGAGGTAAATCTTTTTTTGAATAGTGAGTTGTAGTTTGTGTGGATATTTTTGCTTACTGACATCAGCTTGCCTTGTTGTTGTTAGTGGATCAGTATGTATGTTACGGCATTTCATCCCAGCAGTGACATCTGTGTTGTAAAGCTTTATAATAGAGAGTTGAACCCAGATCATGCTCTGAACATGTGGTGAACAATTAACAAGATGAATTCAGCACGTATAACACTACTGAAAATCTCAACATGCACAAGCGAAAGAAAGAAAAGAGAACAGTTCAGTGGTTTGCATTTAGAGCTGGAGGCCTCACATCTGGGTGGCCTGATTCTACTGAAGTTGTAAATAGACCATGGGCTAAAAAAGTCTGATTCTTACTGCTGCAGATAGATTCAGTAGTTTTAGGGATATTTAATGCATTAAATGGTGGCAAGTATACATGTATTTGTCGTAAAGAGCTGTGGCAGAATCCAGCACCCTGTTGTATATCCCTTATGTTATATGCCTTCAGAAAAGATATTCATTATATCTACACATTGTGGTTTTATAGTACATGAAATGCATGTACTAGTAAAAGTAATGTGGGGGGTACTTTTTGTGAATGTTTCACAAATTCGTTTCTTGGGGTACTAATGAAAGGCACTGATTTGGCTTGCAAACATTGTAGACAACTTATTTTGTGTCTAATACATCATATTTCATATAATCTCAGAGATATTACATTAAAAAAGTTTATTGCTGAACTTTGTCAACACTTTTTGGTATATGCAATATTACAAATAGAAAAGAGAAAAATATTTTGAGGTACGTTAAGGTTTTCAATAATATAATTACAGGATACAATGGCAAAGCGCAATACTGTCATAGGTACTCCATTTTGGATGGCTCCAGAGGTAATACAAGAAATTGGTTATAATTGTGTGGCAGACATCTGGTCCCTTGGCATTACATCAATAGAGATGGCAGAAGGAAAGCCACCCTATGCTGATATACATCCAATGAGGGTAAGAATCATATAGTATGACTTCATTATTAAATACAGTTGATCTTTATATTGTTGTTTTGTGGGAAAGTAGAAGTAGGAGGTACTTGACTGGTTCAGAAGTAATGCCTAACCAGTAGCATAATATTAGGAAAATGAGCCTAAACTCACATGCTTCTCCCCTTCAGAGTTTAGAAGATTTCACTTCAACATCTTAATAGAAGTGATTTCATATTTTGCCATGTTGTCCAAAACAGAACAGACTACAACTACATTTAATAAAAACAAGCAATCAACCCCTGGTTTATGAAGCTGGCTTGTTTTCACTAACCAAGTTAAGATTAGCCATGGTTTAGAGTTTGGACAACAGCATGATATTCTGTAATCTAAAATTGAAGACACATCCACTCTCTTTGTGGTTGTGTTAGGGGAGGAACAGAAACATGCAGATGCAGGGAAGGCTAGAGTTATTCTTAAATGTCCAACTATGGTTTAGTATTGCATCCAAACACATCTCCTGTAATTCTCTTGATGGTTGGAACTAGAGCTTTGTGTTCAGCTGCTAATTATAGCTGGGATTCAGAACTAAGCAACTAAACTGCGGGTAAAATGTAAACCTTGCAACAGGGAATTGCAACTGGTAACCTTTCAAATGTTTTGATTTACAGTTTCTATTAGCTCTAGCCAATGTAGTCACAGGTGAGAGGTGATGGCAGCTGTAGGCTAAGATACCTTGACAACTATACGCATTTTTTCAGAAAGTAACGGTGTCCATTATGCTATAAAAAGATAACGTGTATTTGAAACCTCAAGTTTAATAAATCAGTAGCCATCTTTCAAAATGGCTTCTGCTGTCACCAAGCATATTTTAATATTTACTTATCTAGCTTTGCTAATTTTGGCAATTTAGGGAGTCACCATTTATGTAGAAATACAGCAAGCCACTTGTAAAAATAGCTGAGTATTATTTATTCAAACATTATTGAGGGAGTTGTGTTATATCTATGTGGTATTAGCTAGTTCTTCTCTAGTTTTGGAATAATAGGCAATGGAGTACCTTGGCTCACAGTTGGAAATAGGGTGAGTTCTTCTCTAAGGCTAGAGGTCTAACTTGTAGTTATCTTTCTCCAGCCAGGGGCTTGGAGTATTATACCTGCCTGCTCTTTTCTTGGATGTCCACTGAGTTTCACTACAAAATAATGAAATAAAGGGAAACACAGGATAATGTGCAGACAAGCCTTTTCCATCTAAATCGAAAAGGTTGCTGCGGTACCCCTCATTTTCAAATCATATCCATTATTCTCACCTTTTGAAAGTAGTAATTCCCAGTGGAAGCCTGGTTTCTTAGCTTATCACTGAAGTCCTCTGTGTGTAAGAAAGAGGAACTTTCCTCAAAATTGAAATATTTTTCCCCATAGGGTTTGGAGAAGAGGTTAAAGTATGGGCTTGGAGTGTTGAGGTTGGTTCTCTTCTTGTGTCCCATTGGCAAGAAAAAGTATGGGATCAGTAGGACTAATTGTAGTTTATTTGGCTCATCTAGTTTGCTAACCTCCATCATTCTAAGGACACTGGTTTCTTCTCCTTGTGGACTTAGATTTTTATATTTAAGTTAATGGATTAAGGCTGCTGCTCCTTACAGCACCAAAAGTGCCTAGTCATGCTCTGCTTTTCTGGCTTCCTAGTTACATTTTTAGTGTTGCTGGCGTGATGAAGGAGGGCCAATGTCATAGTCTGACATAGCTGGGAGTTCCTAATGATCTTGTTGCATGTTTTCAAGCTCTTCATGATTGCATCCTGCTTGTTTATATGCTTTTCTTTCGGGTGTAGGAAGCAGTGGATTCTGTTGCTTGCTTTCTCAATGGCTCTGTGCCTGACAAGAAAGCAGGTGGTAGTAAAGTTAAGAGGAGGAGCAGAAACAGCAGCTGCCAACAGCACTATGTGGATAGGTTGACTCCCTATCAGGAGGGTGGACTGAGGATATTTTGGCTCTCTCAAACTTAGAGCAAGCACAGGCTGTAGAGAAAGATGCACTGCCATTCTTAATTTAAGTTATAGGGTAGTAGATGACTGAGTTTGAGTTTGAGATATTATTTATATATCTTAATTTTGGTAGGTGTATGCTCATGTTTAGAATGTGAAGGAAACAAAATAGCATTTCTGAATTTTGAAGGAATATATGGCCTAAGAGCCATAGTGGCCTGTCTAATGCTCATGGGAAGCCCACAATCCATGTATGCATAGTGATTAAAGATTATTTATATTTAACAACAATGATGTTTTGAACATTAATGATACCATCCTCATTACATCTGGGATAACTTTGGCATAATTGCTTGTGAGTTGCACTGGTTAATGAAAAGTAAGAGCTAAATTATTAGAGAAGATTTTCTAAGCATGACCATAGCTGCTTATAAACTAAGGGGTCAGTATTTTAACATGACATATTGTGAATATTTTTAATCCTTATAATCAAATGTATTATATCAAAGGGCAAAGTCATTCTTAAAATAACAATGTTGCCTTACACAGAACACATGTTCTTGTTAATAATTTGTGTTCTGGCCTTTAAGGGCATGTATGCAGTTAATACTCTTTTGTATATTTGATATCCATAGTTCTTCTTAATTTTTATTAGTGAGTTGTTACAGTGGTTAGAAAGAAATACACAGATTTCAGTTGTGATAGTTTTCCCAGTGTTACATGATCCAGCTTCACAAGATTCCTAGACATATGTAGATGCTTTTCTATTTTGTTTTACTTAAGACATTCAATTGATATAGGCAAGCATGAAAGCTTGGGCAAACTTTCATTGCTTTTTCTGGATCTTGCTTAGATTCTGTGGTATTTATGTAAAACACTGTTTTGTTACTTGGGAATGCATGCTGAAGTTATTCTGTATGCTATTTTGCTGTAGGCTGGTTGGCGCTGCCACAAAGGTAATGCATTGCCAGTAGGCCATTTCCTTGTCAATTGCATTTACAATCTAATAGAGATATTACATGACTTTTTAAACAAGTGTTTTGGCAGGGGCGGAAATGGCAGATTCCATGCAAACAAGCATAGCTTCCTCTCCTTAACCACACACTAGCTACTCAAGGAGTTGTACTAAAGCTTGGGCGAGTGCAAAGGTAAGGAAAGGATTTCAGGTTGAAAGACTGCAATAAAAGTACTTTGAGGCTAAGTATTTAGAAACATAGATCAGATCTTTGTCAAAACCCAGCAGGTTCTTGTTGTGGTTGGAAAGGTTGTGGTTGAAAAGGTGGTGACAATCAGCCAATGCAGTAGGCTAGTTAGTATATTTGAAATCTGTGCAGTATGCCTGGGGCTCTTTCCACAGTCTAATGTTACTAGTTCCTTTAGGACTGTTGAATGCAAGGGCCACCTGCTTTGCTGGCATTAGTGAATGTTCGTTTTACATGTTAAAACCTTTTAGCTATCAACCTTTTGTGGCAGGATGGCTCAAAGGGAAAAGGTTGTTTGGTGCTGGTAACAGATTATATTAATTATATTATTATTTCTATATCAGAACTGCAGTAAAATAAAGCAAAAAAAATATTGAGCACAATTCAGCACACTCAATTCTAATCTTATGTATAGCCTGAAGTGCCTGATCCTACATAATCTTGGAAGCTAAACAGAGTTGGGCCTAGTTGAAATCTGGATTGGGTGACTTGATGTTGTGAACTGCCCAGAGAGTTTCAGCTATGGGTGGTATAGAAATGTAATGAATAAATAATAAAATTATAGAAAGAAAGTAACTGTAATGGCACCATTATAGAATTTTGTTTTGGTTTCATTACTGTGGCTTGAACTACATGTAATGGGATTTACTTAGTTGCCACCGAAACCAACAGCTCTAATCTGTAATGTTTAATGTAATGTAACACTACAGAATATGTTGTATGATATCACCATTCTGAAACTCTCCTTGCTCCCACAAATGTCAGCCAGTGAAGTAAAACAAAGGCAGCAATATTCATAGCACAGTGATGTCACCTCATCCATTTTGCGGCGTGCATTAATATCTGTCAAACCTGTGACAAAGCCAGGTAACTCTCAGTGCAATGGCATTACCTTGCATTTCTTGTAATACTAACCCAGTCTCCCAAACTGACCTTCTCCAGATGGGACTTTAATTCCCATAATCTCCAGCCAGTATGGTCATTAAAGGACAGTGGTTTGTTCAGAAGGCTAAATTAGACATTGCAGGAGAAGGGAGGTAGAAGACTACGCATGGGGCTATTATTGTTTTTAAAAGAATCCACACGGCTAGTGTCCTGGTCTTTATCAGTTGCTTTTTAATCCTTGACCAAGCAGCTGTTTCCCCCTCCCGCTAAGAATTCCCTTAATCTGTTTTATTATCAAGCAACACAAATGTGTTTATGCATTCAGGGTTATTATGTCATATTTCAACCAGTGTTAATTTATTTAGAGATAATAATGTCATGCTTTAAATAAAGGAATTCTGAGGAACAAGCTAGATGCAGTGGTGACTGTTTCTTGTTTTTAAACAGGGAGTGGGGTGCAGTGTTTGAGCTGAAACAAAGGGGTTACACAGACAAGGGGAAATGACGGTGTTTCCTTTCACAGCCCTTCTCTCCAAGCATTTGTTGTAATCATGTTTTGTTCTCACTTTTCTGATCATGCCTTACAGTTGATTCTATTGTATCATGACTACACATATTTAATGATTTGCTAGGGCAGGAAGAGTTAACAGGTATTTTTGCAATGAAAATACAAAATGCAATTTCAAGACCCCCTTAAGACCTTGTCATCCTGTGGGTATAGTCCCATGCTAGTAATTTCTGGGCATCTTATTTCGTATATGAGTTGTCTGGGTAGGGAACTTTTGTATCTTATTATAGTAAGGAGTGGAATTTGTGCTATACCTAATCTCAACAAGCAAATCTTCTGGAAAGTGAGGAACACAGTGCAGGCCTCTGAAGCCCAGCTGGAACCTAACCCTGGGATAACTTTCCTTTTCCTTCCTTTATCCTTTAGATTACACCCACATGCGGTTTC